ATGCTGCCCTGTCATTCCTTTGTATTGTAAAGATGCTACCCTTTCATTCCTTTGTATTGTAAAGATGCTGCCCTGTCATTCCTTTGTGTGTAAATATGCTGCCCTGTCATTCCTTTGTATTGTAAAGATGCTGCCCTGTCATTCATTTGTATTGTAAAGATGCTGCCCTGTCATTCCTTTGTATTGTAAAGATGCTTCCCTGTCATTCCTTTGTATTGTAAAGATGCTGCCCTGTCATGCCTTTGTATTGTAAAGATGCTGCCCTGTCATTCCTTTGTATTGTAAAGATGCTGCCCTGTCATTCCTTTGTATTGTAAAGATGCTACCCTTTCATTCCTTTGTATTGTAAAGATGCTGCCCTGTCATTCCTTTGTGTGTAAAGATGCTGCCCTGTCGTTCGTTTGTATTGTAAAGATGCTGCCCTGTCATTCCTTTGTATTGTAAATATGCTGCCCTTTCATTCCTTTGTATTGTAAAGATGCAGCCCTGTCATTCCTTTGTGTGTAAAGATGCTGCCCTGTCATTCCTTTGTATTGTAAAGATTCTACCCTGTCATTCCTTTGTGTGTAAAGATGCTGCCATGTCGTTCCTTTGTATTGTAAAGATGCTGCCCTGTCATTCCTTTGTATTGTAAAGATGCTGCCCTGTAATTCCTTTGTATTGTAAAGATGCTGCCCTGTCATTCCTTTGTATTGTAAAGATGCTGTCCTGTCATTCCTTTGTATTGTAAAGATGCTGCCCTGTCATTCCTTTGTATTGTAAAGATGCTGCCCTGTCAGTCCTTTGTATTGTAAAGATGCTGCCCTGTCATTCCTTTGTATTGTAAAGATGCTGCCTTGTCATTCCTTTGTATTGTAAAGATGCTGCCCTGTCGTTCCTTTGTATTGTAAATATGCTGCCCTGTCATTCCTTTGTATTGTAAAGATGCTGCCCTGTCATTCCTTTGTATTGTAAAGATGCTGCCCTGTCATTCCTTTGTATTGTAAAGATGCTGCCCTGTCATTCCTTTGTATTGTAAAGATGCTGCCCTGTCATTCCTTTGTATTGTAAAGATGCTGCCCTGTCATTCCTTTGTATTGTAAAGATGCTGCCTTGTCATTCCTTTGTATTGTAAAGATGCTGCCCTGTCGTTCCTTTGTATTGTAAAGATGCTGCCCTGTCATTCCTTTGTATTGTAAAGATGCTGCCCTGTCATTCCTTTGTATTGTAAAGATGCTGCCCTGTCATTCCTTTGTATTGTAAAGATGCTGCCCTGTCAAGAAACAGACCCTAGTTCCTACTCCTTAGCTTAGGCAGTCAGTCCTTGGTTGCACCCTATTACCCATAGGGCCCTGGTCAACGTGTGAGCCCTCTATAGGGAATAGGGTGCCATTTGGGATACAGCCTTAGGTAGGGGCTAAGGGCCGTGTCTGGACAGGGATAAAGTTATAAAGGTAGGTGCCGTCTGTATCAAGCCTTTCAGAGTGGGATCTAGGATCAGGCTCCTGTCCATGTAATCTTATGTTCTAAAAGGCAGAACTGACCTTAGATCAGCACTCCCACTCTGAGATGATACATACGGCCCCTAGTGAATTACAGAGCGGAGGTATCGCTCCCACTCTGAGATGATACATACGGCCCCTAGTGAATTACAGAGCGGAGGTATCGCTCCCACTCTGAGATGATACACACGGCCCCTAGTGAATTACAGAGCGGAGGTATCGCTCCCACTCTGAGATGATACACACGGCCCCTAGTGAATTACAGAGCGGAGGTATCGCTCCCACTCTGAGATGATACACACGGCCCCTAGTGAATTACAGAGCGGAGGTATCGCTCCCACTCTGAGATGATACACACGGCCCCTAGTGAATTACAGAGCGGAGGTATCGCTCCCACTCTGAGATGATACATACGGCCCCTAGTGAATTACAGAGCGGAGGTATCGCTCCCACTCTGAGATGATACACACGGCCCCTAGTGAATTACAGAGCGGAGGTATCGCTCCCACTCTGAGATGATACATACGGCCCCTAGTGAATTACAGAGCGGAGGTATCGCTCCCACTCTGAGATGATACATACGGACCCTAGTGAATTACAGAGCGGAGGTATCGCTCCCACTCTGAGATGATACATACGGCCCCTAGTGAATTACAGAGCGGAGGTATCGCTCCCACTCTGAGATGATACATACGGACCCTAGTGAATTACAGAGCGGAGGTATCGCTCCCACTCTGAGATGATACATACGGCCCCTAGTGAATTACAGAGCGGAGGTATCGCTCCCACTCTGAGATGATACACACGGCCCCTAGTGAATTACAGAGCGGAGGTATCGCTCCCACTCTGAGATGATACATACGGCCCCTAGTGAATTACAGAGCGGAGGTATCGCTCCCACTCTGAGATGATACACACGGCCCCTAGTGAATTACAGAGCGGAGGTATCGCTCCCACTCTGAGATGATACACACGGCCCCTAGTGAATTACAGAGCGGAGGTATCGCTCCCACTCTGAGATGATACACACGGCCCCTAGTGAATTACAGAGCGGAGGTATCGGGGCAGGTCCTCACCACTGGCTGGTAGAGGTAGGTCGTCTGAATGCTACTGTGAGAATATTTAGTGTTTTATTTTTATAGATGTTCTTAATTACAAATTATATATAAAACAGCTCTCTTCCTGTTTCCCAGACACAGATTAACCCTAGTCCTGGACAAAGATCCAAGGTCAATGGGAAAGGTCAATCACCTTGATCCAAGGTCAATGGGAATCTACCTTAAAATAGCAGTTTAGTCCGGACTCTGCTTAATCTTTGTCCAGGAAACCAGCCCTTAAATGTGGACTTACATTGGTTTAACATCATGATCAAATAATTCAATATGGCTGTTGTTAATAACTAAGATGAGCCATCTACTCTGTACAGACAAAACAAGTTATTGATAAAGAGATTATTTCATATCTTCTATTCATCAAAATGTTCCTTATTCTGTCAATGTTAATTTACAATCATATCTGTATATATATGAGTTGTGTGAATGATTCAGTGTTTGATTGTTGTATGTGACTGTGTGGGAGAGAGAAGAGCGGATGGACCATCATGATGTTGAGTGTCATGTCTTCTTCCCACCACCGTGAGAGGAGGTGGTGTTTGGCTCAGGAGTTAACTGCTGTTACTTCTTCCCATCACTGTGAGAGGAGGTGGTGTTTGGCTCAGGAGTTAACTGCTGTTACTTCTTCCCACCACCGTGAGAGGAGGTGGTGTTTGGCTCAGGAGTTAACTGCTGTTGCTTCTTCCCATCACTGTGAGAGGAGGTGGTGTTTGGCTCAGGAGTTAAATGCTGTTGCTTCTTCCCATCACTGTGAGAGGTGGTGGTGTTTCTTCCCACCACTGTGAGAGGTGGTGGTGTTTCTTCCCATCACTGTGAGAGGTGGTGGTGTTTCTTCCCACCACTGTGAGAGGAGGTGGTGTTTCTTCCCATCACTGTGAGAGGTGGTGGGTGTTTCTTCCCACCACTGTGAGAGGGTGGTGGTGTTTCTTCCCACCACTGTGAGAGGTGGTGGTGTTTCTTCCCACCACTGTGAGAGGAGGTGGTGTTTTCTTCCCAACCACTGTGAGAGGTGGTGGTGTTTCTTCCCATCACTGTGAGAGGTGGTGGTGTTTCTTCCCACCACGTGAGAGGTGGTGGTGTTTCTTCCACCACTGTGAGAGGAGGTGGTGTTTCTTCCCACCACTGTGAGAGGAGGGTGGTGTTTCTTCCACCACTGTGAGAGGTGGTGGTGTTTCTTCCCACCACTGTGAGAGGTGGTGGTGTTTCTTCCCACCACTGTGAGAGGTGGTGGTGTTTCTTCCCACCACTGTGAGAGGTGGTGGTGTTTCTTCCCACCACTGTGAGAGGAGGTGGTGTTTCTTCCCACCACTGTGAGAGGGTGGTGGTGTTTCTTCCCACCACTGTGAGAGGTGGTGGTGTTTCTTCCCACCACTGTGAGAGGTGGTGGTGTTTCTTCCCACCACTGTGAGAGGTGGTGGTGTTTCTTCCCACCACTGTGAGAGGTGGTGGTGTTTCTTCCCACCACTGTGAGAGGTGGTGGTGTTTCTTCCCACCACTGTGAGAGGTGGTGGTGTTTCTTCCCACCACTGTGAGAGGTGGTGGTGTTTCTTCCCACCACTGTGAGAGGTGGTGGTGTTTCTTCCCACCACTGTGAGAGGTGGTGGTGTTTCTTCCCACCACTGTGAGAGGTGGTGGTGTTTCTTCCCACCACTGTGAGAGGTGGTGGTGTTTCTTCCCATCACTGTGAGAGGAGGTGGTGTTTGGCTCAGGAGTTAACTGCTGTTGCTTCTTCCCACCACTGTGAGAGGTGGTGGTGTTTCTTCCCACCACTGTGAGGGTGGTGGTGTTTCTTCCCACCACTGTGAGAGGTGGTGGTGTTCTTCCCACCACTGTGAGAGGTGGTGGTGTTTCTTCCCACCACTGTGAGAGGTGGTGGTGTTTCTTCCCACCACTGTGAGAGGTGGTGGTGTTTCTTCCCACCACTGTGAGAGGTGGTGGTGTTTTCTTCCCACCACTGTGAGAGGTGGTGGTGTTTCTTCCCACCACTGGTGAGAGGAGGTGGTGTTTCTTCCCACCACTGTGAGAGGTGGTGGTGTTTCTTTCCCACCACTGTGAGAGGAGGTGGTGTTTCTTCCCATCACCGTGAGAGGAGGTGGGTGTTTCTTCCCACCACTGTGAGAGGTGGTGGTGTTTCCCACCACTGGGGTGTTTCTTCCCACCACTGTGAGAGGTGGTGGTGTTTCTTCCCACCACTGTGAGAGGTGGTGGTGTTTCTTCCCACCACTGTGAGAGGTGGTGGTTGTTTCTTCCCACCACTGTGAGAGGTGGTGGTGTTTCTTCCCACCACTGTGAGAGGTGGTGGTGTTTTTCTTCCACCACTGTGAGAGGAGGGTGGTGTTTTCTTCCCACCACTGTGAGAGGTGGTGGTGTTTTCTTCCCACCACTGTGAGAGGTGGTGGTGTTTGTCTCAGGAGTTAACTGGTGTTACTCTGACTGACTCCAACAGATCCATGTACAGTACTATGTTGCTGATCATCATACTGACTGATCCATGTACAGTACTATGTTGCTGATCATCATACTGACTGATCCATGGTACAGTACTATGTTGCTGATCATCATACTGACTGATCCATGTACAGTACTATGTTGCTGATCATCATACTGACTGATCCATGTACAGTACTATGTTGCTGATCATCATACTGACTGATCCATGTACAGTACTATGTTGCTGATCATCATACTGACTGATCCATGTACAGTACTATGTTGCTGATCATCATACTGACTGATCCATGTACAGTACTATGTTGCTGATCATCATACTGACTGATCCATGTACAGTACTATGTTGCTGATCATCATACTGACTGATCCATGTACAGTACTATGTTGCTGATCATCATACTGACTGATCCATGTACAGTACTATGTTGCTGATCATCATACTGACTGATCCATGTACAGTACTATGTTGCTGATCATCATACTGACTGATCCATGTACAGTACTATGTTGCTGATCATCATACTGACTGATCCATGTACAGTACTATGTTGCTGATCATCATACTGACTGATCCATGTACAGTACTATGTTGCTGATCATCATACTGACTGATCCATGTACAGTACTATGTTGCTGATCATCATACTGACTGATCCATGTACAGTACTATGTTGCTGATCATCATACTGACTGATACTGAAATTAACTTTTACGCCTGATCACTTCTGGTTCCTGTTTTATTCATCATTCCAACAGGAGTAAAATAAATCAACACAATCACTCTCTGTTTACCTGAGTCGTACACACATGATTGTGGATAAATCTGTCAAATAAACCGATACAAGGTTTCATATCTAAACTGTTGGCGTAAGGCCTCTATTCAATCCGTATCGCGGAAGTTCAGCACTAATGCCTCATTGAAATTTAAAGGCAATGTTCCCATGTTGGCGGAGATTGCACCCTCTGTTTCAGTGATCCAGATTGAATAGAGCTCTGAATCCTTCATTATCCCTGTACCTGTTTCAGTGATCCAGATTGAATAGAGCTCTGAATCCTTCATTATCCCTGTACCTAAGTAGTTAATCAATACATTCACTTTGAGGTCAAGATGTTTCTGCGGCAACATTAAGGCGATGTTTTGGGCAGTATTTCGACAATCTGTCAGAATAGTTACTGACCATGTGAAGGACATTTTGGAGAGAGGGGGGCATTAGGAACAGTGGGAGAGAAGGAGAGGAGGGGAGGCACAGTGGGAGAGAGAGTAGAGGGGGAGGAACAGTGGGAGGGAGAGAGAGAGTAGAGGGGGAGGAACAGTGGGAGGGAGATGAGAGAGTAGAGGGGGAGGAACAGTGGGAGGGAGAGAGAGAGTAGGGGGGAGGAACCAGTGGGAGGGAGAGAGAGAGTAGGGGGGGTGAACAGTGGGGGGCGATTAGTAGATGTGGGGTTTGTGACGATGTTGGGGTGCATTTGGGGTTGGGGAGGCATGAGAGTGGGGGAGGACCAGTGGGAGAAGTAAGTGAGGGGGAGGAAGTGGGAGAGAGTTAGGGGGAGGACCAGTGGGAGAGTGGGGGGAGGAACAGTGGGAGAGTAGTAGAGGGGGAGGGACGTGGAGAGCGTAGAGGGGGAGGAACAGTGGCGAGAGAGTTAGAGAGTGAGAGGGGGAGGAACATGGGAGGGAGAGAGAGAGGGGGAGGAACAGTGGGAGGCTAGAGAGTAGAGGGGAGGAACAGTGGGAGAGAGAGTAAGGGGGGAGGGAACAGTAGGGAAGGGAGAGAGTTAGAGGGGGAGGGACAGTGGGAGAGAGTAGAGGGGGAGGAACAGTGGGAGAGAGTAGAGGGGGAGGAACAGTGGGAGAGAGTAGAGGGGGAGGCAGTGGGAGGGCGAGAGTGAGAGAGTAGAGGGGAGGAACAGTGGGAGGGAGAGAGGTAGAGGGGGAGGCATAGTGGGAGAGAGTTAGAGGGGTGAGGAACAGTGGGAGAGAGAGAGTGAGGGGGAGGCACAGTGGAGGAGAGTGAGGGGGAGGAACAGTGGAGAGAGTGAGTGGGGAGGGACAGTTGGGAGAGAGGAAGAGGGGGAGGAACATTGGGGAGAGAGGGGGAGGGACAGGGGAGAGAAGTAGAGGGGGGAGGAACAGTGGAGGAGTAGAGGGGAGGGACAGTGGGAGAGGAGAGTAGAGGGGAGGAAAACCAGCTGGGAGAGAGAGAGGGGGAGGAAACAGTGGTAGAGAGTAGAGGGGGAGGAACAGTGGGAGAGAGTAGAGGGGGAGGAACAGTGGGAGGGAGGAGAGAGAGTAGAGGGGGAGGAACGGGGGACGAGAGAGAGAGAGTAGAGGGGGAGGAAAAAGTGGGAGAGAGAGAGAGGGGGAGGGCCCAGTGGGAGAGAGAGAGAGAGAGTAGAGGGGGAGGAAAACAGTGGGAGAGAGAGAGAGAGTAGAGGGGGGAGAACAGGAATCAGTGGGAGGAGCGTAGAGGGGGAGGGGACCAGTGGGGGAGGAGAGTAGTTAGAGGGGGAGGAACATTGGGAGAGAGTAGAGGGGAGGAACAGTGGGAGAGAGAGAGAGGAGTAGAGGGGGAGGGAACAGTGGGAAGAGTAGAGGGGGGAGGAACAGTGGAGAGAGTAGAGGGGGAGAAAAGTGGGAGAGAGTAGAGGGGGAGGAACAGTGGGAGAGAGAGAGAGAGTAGAGGGGGAGGAACAGTGGGAGAGAGTAGAGGGGAGGGCCAGTGGGAGGAGGAGAGAGAGAGAGAGTAGAGGGGGAGGAAGGAACAGTGGGCGAGATAGTAAGGGGGAGGAAAGTGGGAGAGAGTAGTAGAGGGGGAGGACGTGGGAGAGAGTACGAGGGGGAGGGGAGGAACAGGGGAGAAGCGTAGAGGGGGAGGAAACAGTGGGGAGAGAGTAGAGGGGAGGAACAGTGGGAGGGAGAGAGTAGAGGGGGAGGAACAGTGGGAGAGAGAGAGTAGAGGGGGAGGAACAGTGGGAGAGGGTAGAGGGGGAGGAACAGTGGGAGGGAGAGAGTAGAGGGGGAGGAACAGTGGGAGGGAGAGAGTAGAGGGGGAGGGACAGTGGGAGAGAGAGAGTAGAGGGGGAGGGACAGTGTGTTGGGAATGAGGAGAGTAGAGGGGGAGGAACAGTGGGAGATGTACACTAGCATCACATCAGATAATAACACATACTGTAGATAATGGTGTTATATGACTGTCACTAGCATCACATCTAAACAGTTTAGCGTTTGTAAAAAATGATCACAGTGATTATCTGACTGTCTTAGGGATGTGTGGTGTGGTCTTGTCTGGTGTGGGTTTGTCTGGTGTGGTCTTGTCTGGTGTGGTCTTGTCTGGTGTGGTCTTGTCTGGTGTGGGTTTGTCATTCTGTGCCGAAGTACTTCTGTCCAAAGTGAGTTGGTGGGTGGGGGCGACGGGGTGAGCTCTGTGGTGAGCAGGGTGCTGTTGGGAACGCTTGGAGGATGGCCTTGGCTCATAGAGAGAGGAGTAGAGAAAGGAGGGGTTATAGTGAGAGACAGTGGAGGGATGGAGAGATGGAGAGGAGAGGAGGAGGGATGGAGAGGAGGAGAGGAGGAGGGATGAAGAGGAGGAGAGGAGGAGGGATGAAGAGGAGGAGAGGAGGAGAGATGGAAGAGGAGAGGAGGAGGGATGGAGAGGAGGAGGGGAGGAGAGGAGGAGAGAAGGAAGAGGAGGAGGGATGGAGGAGGAGAGAGGATGAGAGGAGGAGAGATGGAGAGGAGGAGGGAGGAGAGGAGGAGTGATGAAGGGGGAGAGGAGGAGAGGAGGAAGAGGAGAGGAGGAGGGATGGAGAGGAGGAGGGGAGGAGAGGAGGAGAGGAGGAGATGAGGAGGGATGGGAGAGAGGAGGAGAGATGGAGAGGAGGAGGGATGGAGAGGAGGAGAGGAGGAGGGAGGAAAGAGGAGGAGAGGAGGAGGGTATAGAGATTGGAGTGATGTGTGTTATGTGCGAGGAGGAGGGATGGAGAGGAGGAGGGATGGAGAGAGGAGGAGGATGGAGAGGAGGAGAGAGGGAGAGGAGGAGAGGAGGAGGGATGGAGAGAGGAAGGAGTGTGAGAGGAGGAGAGGAGGAAGGGGGGAGAGGAGGGAGGGATGGAGAGGAGGGAGGAGGGGGGAGAGGAGGAGAGAGGAGGAGAGATGGAGAGGAGAGGAGGAGGGATGGAGAGAGGAAGAGGAGGGGGGTGGAGAGGAGGAGGGATTGGACGAGGGGAGAGGAGGAGGGATGGAGGATGGAGAGGAGGGGAGGGATCTAGAGAGGAGGAGGATGGAGAGGAGAGGATGGAGAGGAGGCGGGATGGAGGGAGGAGAGATGGAAGGAGGAGAGGAGGAGGGATGGAGAGGAGGAGGGAGGAGAGGAGGAGGGATGGAGAGGAGGAGAGATGGAGAGGAGGAGAGGAGGAGGGATGGAGAGGAGGGAAGAGGAGGAGAGGAGGACGGGTTGGAGAGGGAGGAGGAGGAGGAGGAGGAGAGGAGGAGGGATGGAGAGGAGGAGAGGATGGAGAGGAGGAGAGGAGGAGAGATGGAGAGGAGGAGGGATGGAGAGGAGGAGAGGAGGGAGGGATGGAGAGGAGGAGAGGGGAGGGATAGAAGGAGGAGAGGGAAGATGGAGAGGAGGAGCGGGGATGGAGGGAGGAGAGATGGAGAGGAGAGGAGGAGGGATGGAGAGGAGAGAGAGAGAGGAGAGGAGGATGAGGAGGAGGATGGAGAGGAGAGAGATGGATGAGGAGGAGAGGAGGAGGGATGGAGAGGAGGAGAGGCGGAGGATGGAGAGGAGGAGAGAGGAGAGGATGGAGAGGGAGGAGGGATGGGAGGAGGAGAGGAGGAGGGATGGAGCAGGAGGAGGGAGGGAGAGGAGTAGGGAGGAGAGGGATGAAGAGGAGGAGAGGAGGAGGGATAGAGAGGCATGGATGCGTGAGAGGAGGAGGATGGAGACGGCAGGAGAGATGGTAGAGGAGGAGGGATGGAGAGGAGGAGGAGGAGGAGGATGGAGAGGAGGAGAGATGGAGAGGAGGAGAGGAGGAGCGGAGGACGGGAAGGGAGAGGAGGAGGAGCATGGAGAGAGAGGGAGGAGAGGAGGAGGGATAGAGAGGAGGAGAGGGGAGGAGGAGAGGAGGAGGAGGAGGAGAGGAGGAGGATGGAGAGGAGGAGGGATGGAGAGGGGAGGGCATGGAGAGGAGGCGGGATGGAGGAGGAGGAGGGATGGAGAGGAGGAGAGGAGAGAGATGGAGAAGGGAGGAGAGGAGGAGAGGAGGATGCGGAGGGAGGGATGGAGAGGAGGAGAGGAGGAAAGGAGAGGAGGAGGATGGAGAGGAGGAGGGATGGACGAGGAGGAGGATAGAGAGGAGGAGAGGGAGGAGAGATGGGAGGAGGAGCGGAGGAGAGGGAGAGATGGAGGGAGAGGAGGAGGGATAGAGAGGAGGAGAGGAGGGGAGAAGATGGAGAGGAGGAAGAGGAGAGAGTGGAGAGTGAGGAAGAGGAGGAGAGGAGAGAGGAGAGGAGGGATGGAGAGGAGGAGGGATAGAGGAGGAGGAGGGATGATGGAGAGGAGGAGACGGAGGAGAGATGGAGAGGAAGGAGCAGGAGGAGAGAGATGGAGAGGAGGAGAGGGAGAGGAGGAGAGGAGGAGGGATGGAGAGGAGGACGACGAGGAGGAGGGGATAGAAAAGAGAGGAGGGAGGAGAGATGGTAGAGGAGGAGAGGAGGAGAGATGGTAGAGGAGGAGAGGAGGAGAGGAGGGAGGAGAGAGGGGGGATGGAGAGGAGGAGGGATCGAGAGGAGGAGGATAGAGAGAGGAGAGGAGGAGAGGAGGAGGAGGAGAGAGATGAGAGGAGGAGAGGAGGAGGGATGGAGAGGAGGAGAGGAGGAGGGATGGAGAGGAGTGAGAGGAGAGGAGGAGAGGAGGGGAGGGATGGAGAGGAGGAGGGATAGAGAGGAGGCGAGGAGGCAGAGATGGAGAGGAGGAGAGAGGAGAGGAGGAGGGATGGAAGAGGAGGAGAGGGGAGAGGAGGAGAGGAGGAGAGAGGGAGAGGAGGAAGAGGAGGAGGAGGGAGAGAGAGGAGAGTAGAGGAGGGATGGAGAGGAGAGAGAGATGGAGAGGGCGGAGAGGAGAGAGATGGAGAGAGGGAGGAGGAGAGGGAGGAGAGGAGGAAGAGATGGGAGGAGGAGAGGAGGATGGATGGAGAGGAGAGGAGGAGGAGAGGAGGAGGATGGAGAGGCAGGGGAGGAGGATGGCGAGGAGGAGGGATGGAGAGGAGGAGAGGAGGAGAGGAGGAGGGATGGAGAGGAGGAGGGATATAGAGAGGAGGAGAGGAGGAGGGATGGAGAGGAGGAGAGATGGAGAGGAGGAGAGGAGGAGAGGAGGAGGGATGGAGAGGAGGAGGATGGAGAGAGGAGAGGAGGGAGATGGAGAGGAGGAGAGGAGGAGGGAGAGGAGGAGAGGAGGAGAGGAAGGAGGGATGGAGAGGAGGAGGGTAGAGAGGAGGAGAGGAGGAGAGATGGAGGAGGATGTTAGGGAGGAGAGGGAGGAGGATAGAGAGGAGGGAGGGAGAGAGGAGGATGAGGATGGAGAGGAGGAGGGATGAGAGGAGGAGGGATAGCGAGGAGGAGAGGAGGAGGGATGGAGAGGAGGAGGAGTGGAGAGGAGAGGGATGGAGAGAGGAGGTATGGACAGAGGAGGAGAGATGGAGAGGAGGAGAGATGGAAAGGAGGAGAGATGGAGAGGAGGAGGGATGGAGAGGAGGAGAGGAGGAGGAGGAGGGAAGGGATGGAAGAGGAGGAGGGATAGAGAGGAGGAGAGGAGAGAGATGGAGAGGAGGGGGATATGGAGGAGGAGGGAGGAGAGATGGAGAGGAGGGAGAGGAGGAGAGGAGGAGAGGACGGAAGGGATGGAGAGGAGAAGAGGAGAGGGGATGGAGAGGGAGGAGGGATGAGAGAGGAGGGAGGAGGAGGGAGGGGATGGAGAGGAGGAGAGGAGGAGGGATGGAGAGGAGGAGAGATGGAGAGGAGGAGAGGAGAGGAGGAGGGATGGAGAGGAGGAGGGATAGAGAGGAGGAGAGGAGGAGGGATGGAGAGGAGGAGGGTGGAGAGGCGGAGAGATGGACGAGGAGTAGAGATGGGAAAGGAGGATGAAGATTGGCGAGGAGGGGAGGGATGGAGAGGAGGAGAGTGTTACCTACCGTGTGGGGTGGAGAAGAGAGAGAGGAGGATGATGTGTTTGGGTTGGAGTCCATGTTCTATCAACACCTGCACCGCCTCGATCACCGTGTTACCTGTACCTGGACACACACACACGTTGTTTGCATGATGAGTAACCTTGTCTGAGACCTGAAGACTTGTTACATTTTAGTCATTTAGCAGACGCTCTTATCCAGAGCGACTTACAGTTAGTGAGTGCATACATAATTTTTTTCATACTGGCCCCCGTGGGAATCGAACCCACAACCCTGGCGTGTAAGCTCCCTGAGCTAATGCCTAGTCCTGTGGCTTGCAAGTGACCTGCTGGTTGGCATGGTGACAGACAGAAGTAGGTCGTTACCGTGTGGCCATTATAACACCATGTCTGATCTACATCTACAGTGGGGGGAAAAAAGGATTTAGTCAGCCACCAATTGTGCAAGTTCTCCCACTTAAAAAGATGAGAGAGGCCTGTAATTTTCATCATAGGTACACGTCAACTATGACAGACAAAATGAGAATTTTTTTTTCTCCAGAAAACCACATTGTAGGATTTTTTATGAATTTATTTGCAAATTTATGGTGGAAAATAATTATTTGGTCAATAACAAAAGTTTCTCAATACTTTGTTATATACCCTTTGTTGGCAATGACACAGGTCAAACGTTTTCTGTAAGTCTTCACAAGGTTTTCACACACTGTTGCTGGTATTTTGGCCCATTCCTCCATGCAGATCTCCTCTAGAGCAGTGATGTTTTGGGGCTGTCGCTGGGCAACACGGACTTTCAACTCCCTCCAAAGATTTTCTATGGGGTTGAGATCTGGAGACTGGCTAGGCCACTCCAGGACCTTGAAATGCTTCTTACGAAGCCACTCCTTCGTTGCCCGGGCGGTGTGTTTGGGATCATTGTCATGCTGAAAGACCCAGCCACGTTTCATCTTCAATGCCCTTGCTGATGGAAGGAGGTTTTCACTCAAAATCTCACGATACATGGCCCCATTCATTCTTTCCTTTACACGGATCAGTCGTCCTGGTCCCTTTGCAGAAATACAGCCCCAAAACATGATGTTTCCACCCCCATGCTTCACAGTAGGTATGGTGTTCTTTGGATGCAACTCAGCATTCTTTGTCCTCCAAACACAACGAGTTGAGTTTTTACTAAAAAGTTCTATTTTGGTTTCATCTGACCATATGACATTCTCCCAATCCTCTTCTGGATCATCCAAATGCACTCTAGCAAACTTCAGACGGGCCTGGACATGTACTGGCTTAAGCAGGGGGACACGTCTGGCACTGCAGGATTTGAGTCCCTGGCGGCGTAGTGTGTTACTGATGGTAGGCTTTGTTACTTTGGTCCCAGCTCTCTGCAGGTCATTCACTAGGTCCCCCCGTGTGGTTCTGGGATTTTTGCTCACCGTTCTTGTGATCATTTTGACCCCACGGGGTGAGATCTTGTGTGGAGCCCCAGATCGAGGGAGATTATCAGTGGTCTTGTATGTCTTCCATTTCCTAATAATTGCTCCCACAGTTGATTTCTTCAAACCAAGCTGCTTACCTATTGCAGATTCAGTCTTCCCAGCCTGGTGCAGGTCTACCATTTTGTTTCTGGTGTCCTTTGACAGCTCTTTGGTCTTGGCCATAGTGGAGTTTGGAGTGTGACTGTTTGAGGTTGTGAACAGGTGTCTTTTATACTGATAACAAGTTCAAACAGGTGCCATTAATACAGGTAACGAGTGGAGGACAGAGGAGCCTCTTAAAGAAGAAGTTACAGGTCTGTGAGAGCCAGAAATCTTGCTTGTTTGTAGGTGACCAAATACTTATTTTCCACCATCATTTGCAAATAAATTCATTAAAAATCCTACAATGTGATTTTCTGGATTTTTTTTTCTCAATTTGTCTGTCATAGTTGACGTGTACCTATGATGAAAATTACAGGCCTCTCTCATCTTTTTAAGTGGGAGAACTTGCACAATTGGTGGCTGACTAAATACTTTTTTCCCCCACTGTATATCTGGTAGCATGATGTCTGGATCTAGCATCAGTACTGGTCATCATGATGTCTGGATCTAGCAGCAGTACTAACTAATTTAGCCTAGAGGACTGTAATTCTAGACGGAGGCTGAATGAAGGGGACTGAACCATACAGAGATGAGGAGGAAAAGGTCATTTTCACAAACCCCGCACCCCCCGTGCTGTTTTCCAACCGAAAGCAAAGTGTTCAACTGGTTGACTGGCTGACTGACTTTTAAATGTAACTTTTATTTATTCAGGGGAGCCCAATCGAGACCAGGGTCTCATTCTCAATGGTGCCCTGAGAACAAACAATTCCCAAATCAACATGATAATCAATAAAACAGCAAAAAAGAAACCACAAGATACACTAAGTTTCAACAACACATATTATCACAATCAACCAAAACACACGCAAACCTCAGTGAGTTCATTCCTCATTAGCGTTCTAAAGTGCCCTATTGGCACCAGGGATTCAAGATGTAATGAGGTTTGTAAATGATACCAAACATGGGGGGTGTTAAAACTAAAGGCTGATTTACCTAGGTTGGTAGAGACACGAGGGACCTCAAGAGTTAACTGTGAGCAGGTTTGGTGCCTTGTATTTTTCTACTTTAACAGAGAAGTTGAATATGTTGGAAGCTTGTATAGCAGAGATTTGTAAATAAATAGGGAGTAATGAAGTGATCTATGGGACTTTAGAGAGGTCCAGCCAACCTTCTGATGCAGTGATGAGGATTAAAACCGTCACCTGAGACAAAGCAAAGGGCGCTACGGTAGACGGCATCCAATGGTTTAATAATACTGGCTGCGGCATTCTGGTAAATGGAGTCACCATAGTCAAGAACTGGCAGGAAAGTTGACTGTACAATCTGCTTCCTGCTGTTCAGGGAGAAGCAAGATCTATTTCTATAAATAAGCCTACTTTAAATCTTGGCTTTTTAACTAGCTCATCCATATGTTGTTTAAAAGTCAAATTATTATCAATCCAAAAGCCCAGATATCCAATGAATAAATGTATAAGCCATCTGAAATATTTCTATGAGAATTAGAAAACAGCATACAAGAGACGGGATTCTCCCTAACCGCAGGGGGTTCCAGGATTATTTCCAGCAACATCAAACTGTTTTAGAGACTGATGGATAGGGTCCGGTAGTGCTCCAGTTCTCCCTGTCAGAATAACCAACAGAGGACTCGGAAACCATATCAACTCCTGTAGAAATGGCACTATGCTTATTGTGAGTAACTTCATTTATGTTCCTTTAACTCAGTCTTCTAGTGAGTTTATACAAACTCATCTACCATTCTGATAGATTGGAGACTGTCAGAAAACGTGGTTGTAACGTTAATAATTAGGTTGCTATTCCATTGGTTCCCTCTAGGCAGAGAATATGGCACTTTTAAATGTTAGAGCAAGTTGATTGCATGTTTCTCACTGAACCAAACCATGGCTGCCTTCAGACTGTAGTGCCGCTCTTATGGAGTGGCCCTGCCAGAGCCCGGACTTGAACCCGATCGAACATCTCTGGAGAGACCTGAAAATAGCTGTGCAGCGACGCTCCCCTTCCAACCTGACAGAGCTTGAGAGGATCTGAAGAGATGAATGGGAGAAACTCCCCAAATACAGGTGTGCTAAGCTTGTAGCGTCATACCCAAGAAGACTCAAGGCTGTAATCGCTGCCAAAGGTGCTTCAACAAAGTACTGAGTAAAGGGTCTGAATACTTATGTAAATGTGATATTTCAGGTTTTTTTTTTATACATTTGAAACAATTTCTAAAAACCTGTTTTTGCTTTGTCATTATGGGGTATTGTGTGTTGTTTGATGAGGGGGAAAAAACTATTTAATCCATCTTAGAATAAGGCTGTAATGTAACAAAATGTGGGAAAAGTCAAGCGGTCTGAATACTTTCCGAATGCACTGTATGTGCAGGTCTAAAACTAGACTGTTGCACTTTAAGAATATAATTCGAAGTTTAAAAAGTTATTAGCTGAGAGTTTGCCAGTGATTCTAATATGTTTGCAAGGCAAGAGAGTTTAGAAATTGGGCGGTAGAGACCAGAGCGTAGGGATTGGGCGGTAGAGACCAGAGCGTAGGGATTGGGCGGTAGAGACCAGAGCGTAGGGATTGGACGGTAGAGACCAGAGCGTAGGGATTGGACGGTAAGAGACCAGAGCGTAGGGATTGGACGGTAGAGACCAGAGCGTGGATGGGCGGTAGAGACCAGAGCGTAGGGATTGGCGGTAGAGACCAGAGCGTAGGGATTGGGCGGTAGAGACCAGAGCGTAGGGATTGGGCGGTAGAGACCAGAGCGTAGGGATTGGGCGGTAGAGACCAGAGCGTAGGGATTGGGCGGTAGAGACCAGAGCGTAGGGATTGGGCGGTAGAGACCAGAGCGTAGGGATTGGGCGTAGAGACCAGAGCGTAGGGATGGCGGTAGAGACCAGAGCGTAGGGATTGGCGGTAGAGACCAGAGCGTAGGGATTGGGCGGTAGAGACCAGAGCGTAGGGATTGGACGGTAGAGACCAGAGCGTAGGGATTGGGCGGTAGAGACCAGAGCGTAGGGATTGGGCGGTAGAGACCAGAGCGTAGGGATTGGGCGGTAGAGACCAGAGCGTAGGGATTGGGCGGTAGAGACCAGAGCGTAGGGATTGGGCGGTAGAGACCAGAGCGTAGGGATTGGGCGGTAGAGACCAGAGCGTAGGGATTGGGCGGTAGAGCCAGAGCGTAGGATTGGCGTAGAGACCAGAGCGTAGGGATTGGGCGGTAGAGACCAGAGCGTAGGGATTGGACGGTAGAGACCAGAGCGTAGGGATTGGGCGGTAGAGACCAGAGCGTAGGGATTGGGCGGTAGAGACCAGAGGCACCAGAAGCAATGTTAAATCTACAGTAAAAAGGGATCAAGCAGATCAGCTCAAGGCACTTAGTACATCATTGACATAAAATGGTTGAAATTATTTTTTTTGGAGTGCCTAGAGGGGCATCATTCTCTGTTGTATGTTTAGAGGTGAATAAAGGACTCCCTCTAGTGGTTCTCTGTTGTATGTTTAGAGGTGAATAAAGGACTCCCTCTAGTGGTTCTCTGTTGTATGTTTAGAGGTGAATAAAGGACTCCCTCTAGTGGAACTTGAGGTATTTTCAGAAACCATTATTTCAAGTAGGTGGGCCAGCTGAGGGCAAACGGTTATTAAAACCACCACAAATGTCATTTTTGTCTGTTATGGGACCAGAAGCTGTCATAACCTTCTGGGGCAATGAGGGGGTGGACTGACTGACTGACTGAATTTGATCAGCTGACTGTATTTGTCTAAAGTTAATGACGACATGTTAACAACAGGACACTTTTTCACCATTTTCACTATTTGCTTGGCTAAAAATACTCCAAGATTAGGAGAAATGCCCCTAACATTCAAGACATCTGTAATATCTTCCCCTTTGACAGAGCAGGATGTTTTTACTTACTCAGTATGGGGTACATGAGCAGCACCTTCCTCCTGTTTATGTCTGGGGGGAACTTAGCATAGTAGACCTTAGCCTCCTGGGTCTCTTCATCACTCTGGATCAGGATCTTCCCGATGCGGATGGACCTACAGCAGTCCCTCAGACCCTGCTCCATGGCCTCACCTGAAGGATGGACAGACACAGGTCCCTGCAGAGGTTAGTTATGTGAAAGAACTTGAAAGAAGCAGAACATCATCTGTTTCAGTAGAGAGGATACCATAAAGGTTGCTTGTCTTTGACTCACCACTCCTCATGATGCTGACTCCACAGTTACCTCTTTCAAACTTTACACCTTCATACATGTGTCCTGGAGAGAGATGAAGCTGAATGTTATCATCAGAAGCAGCAGCATGTAGGTGTGTAGAGGCTAGGGGTCAGGGGTCAGCATGTAGAGGCTAGGGATCAGCATGTAGAGGCTAGGGGTCAGGGGTCAGCATGTAGAGGCTAGAGGTCAGGGGTCAGCATGTAGAGGCTAGGGGTCAGGGGTCAGCATGTAGAGGCTAGGGGTCAGGGGTCAGCATGTAGAGGCTAGGGGTCAGCATGTAGAGGCTAGGGGTCAGCATGTAGAGGCTAGGGGTCAGCATGTAGAGGCTAGGGGTCAGGGGTCAGCATGTAGAGGCTAGGGGTCAGGGGTCAGCATGTAGAGGCTAGGGGTCAGCATGTAGAGCCTAGGGGTCAGCATGTAGAGGCTAGGGGTCAGCATGTAGAGGCTAGGGGTCAGCATGTAGAGGCTAGGGATCAGGGGTCAGCATGTAGAGGCTAGGGGTCAGCATGTAGAGGCTAGGGGTCAGCATGTAGAGGCTAGGGGTCAGCATGTAGAGGCTAGGGGTCAGCATGTAGAGGCTAGGGGTCAGCATGTAGAGGCTAGGGGCCAGCATGTAGAGGCTAGGGGTCAGCATGTAGAGGCTAGGGGTCAGGGGTCAGCATGTAGAGGCTAGGGGTCAGCATGTAGAGGCTAGGGGTCAGCATGTAGAGGCTAGGGGTCAGCATGTAGAGGCTAGGGGTCAGGGGTCAGCATGTAGAGACTAGGGGTCAGCATGTAGAGGCTAGGGGTCAGCATGTAGAGGCTAGGGGTCAGGGGTCAGCATGTAGAGGCTAGGGGTCAGCATGTAGAGACTAGGGGTCAGCATGTAGAGGCTAGGGGTCAGCATGTAGAGGCTAGGGGTCAGCATGTAGAGGCTAGGGGTCAGCATGTAGAGGCTAGGGGTCTGCATGTAGAGGCTAGGGGTTAGCATGTAGAGGCTAGGGGTCAGCATGTAGAGGCTAGGGGTCAGGGGTCAGCATGTAGAGGCTAGGGGTCAGCATGTAGAGGCTAGGGGTCAGCATGTAGAGGCTAGGGGTCAGCATGTAGAGGCTAGGGGTCTGCATGTAGAGGCTAGGGGTTAGCATGTAGAGGCTAGGGGTTAGCATGTAGAGGCTAGGGGTCTGCATGTAGAGGCTAGGGGTCTGCATGTAGAGGCTAGGGGTTAGCATGTAGAGGCTAGGGGTTAGCATGTAGAGGCTAGGGGTCTGCATGTAGAGGCTAGGGGTCAGGGGTCAGCATGTAGAGGCTAGGGGTCAGGGGTCAGCATGTAGAGGCTAGGGGTCAGCATGTAGAGGCTAGGGGTCAGCATGTAGAGGCTAGGGGTCAGGGGTCAGCATGTAGAGGCTAGGGGTTAGCATGTATTTTTATTTATTTTTTATTTTATTTTTTTGTCATTTAGCAGACGCTCTTATCCAGAGCGACTTACAGGAGCAATTAGGGTTAAGTGCCTTGCTCAAGGGCACATCGACAGATTTTTCACCTAGTTGGCTCGGGGATTAGAACCAGCGACCTTTCGGTTACTGGCACAACGCTCTTACCCACTAAGCTACCTGCCGCCCTAGAGGCTAGGGGTCTGCATGTAGAGGCTAGGGGTCTGCATGTAGAGGCTAGGGGTCAGCATGTAGAGGCTAGGGGTCAGCATGTAGAGGCTAGGGGTCAGCATGTAGAGGCTAGGGGTCAGGGGTCAGCATGTAGAGGCTAGGGGTCAGGGGTCAGCATGTAGAGGCTAGGGGTCAGCATGTAGAGGCTAGGGGTCAGGGGTCAGCATGTAGAGGCTAGGGGTCAGCATGTAGAGGCTAGGGGTCAGCATGTAGAGGCTAGGGGTCAGGGGTCAGCATGTAGAGGCTGGAGGTCAGCATGTAGAGGCTAGGGGTCACAATGCACTCAAAGTAGGGGTTAGGGGATAGGGAGTAGGAGTTAGGGGTCAGTGCCTGTAGGAGTGGTCACAGTCGGGGATAGGGGATAGGGGGTAGGGGTTATCATCTCCTGTCTGGATTACTGCAACTCGCTGTTGGCTGGGCTCCCTGCCTGTGCCATTAAACCCCTACAACTCATCCAGAATGCTGCAGTCCGTCTGGTGTTCAACCTTCCCAAGTTCTCTCACGTCACCCCCCTCCTCCGCACACTCCACTGGCTTCCAGTTGAAGCTCGCATCTGCTACAAGACCATGGTGCTTGCCTACGGAGCTGTGAGGGGAACGGCACCTCCGTACCTTCAGGCTCTGATCAGTCCCTACACCCAAACGAGGGCACTGCGTTCATCCACCTCTGGCCTGCTGGCTCCCCTACCTCTGCGGAAGCACAGTTCCCGCTCAGCCCAGTCAAAACTGTTCGCTGCTCTGGCACCCCAATGGTGGAACAAGCTCCCTCACGACGCCAGGACAGCGGAGTCACTCACCACCTTCCGGAGACATTTGAAACCCCACCTCTTTAAGGAATACCTGGGATAGGATAAAGTAATCCTTCTAACCCCCCCCCCCAAATAATAATAATAATAATAATAATAATTGTAAAGTGGTTGTCCCACTGGCTATAAGGTGAATGAACCAATTTGTAAGTCGCTCTGGATAAGAGCTTCTGCTAAATGACGTAAATGCAAATGTAATGTTATAGTAAGGGACTAACCTGGTGGGAGTATTCACAGTGCATGTACCGGACCCGTATGCATTGGGACTAACCTGGTGGAGTATTCACAGTGCATGTACCGGACCCATATGCATTGGGACTAACCTGGTGGAGTATTCACAGTGCATGTACCGGACCCATATGCATTGGGACTAACCTGGTGGAGTATTCACAGTGCATGTACCGGACCCATATGCATTGGGACTAACCTGGTGGAGTATTCACAGTGCATGTACCGGACCCATATGCATTGGGACTAACCTGGTGGAGTATTCACAGTGCATGTACCGGACCCATATGCATTGGGACTAACCTGGTGGAGTATTCACAGTGCATGTACCGGACCCATATGCATTGGGACTAACCTGGTGGGAGTATTCACAGTGCATGTACCGGACCCATATGCATTGGGACTAACCTGGTGGGAGTATTCACAGTGCATGTACCGGACCCATATGCATTGGGACTAACCTGGTGGAGTATTCACAGTGCATGTACCGGACCCATATGCATTGGGACTAACCTGGTGGAGTATTCACAGTGCATGTACCGGACCCATATGCATTGGGACTAACCTGGTGGAGTATTCACAGTGCATGTACCGGACCCATATGCATTGGGACTAACCTGGTGGAGTATTCACAGTGCATGTACCGGACCCATATGCATTGGGACTAACCTGGTGGAGTATTCACAGTGCATGTACCGGACCCGTATGCATTGGGACTAACCTGGTGGAGTATTCACAGTGCATGTACCGGACCCATATGCATTGGGACTAACCTGGTGGAGTATTCACAGTGCATGTACCGGACCCATATGCATTGGGACTAACCTGGTGGAGTATTCACAGTGCATGTACCGGACCCGTATGCATTGGGACTAACCTGGTGGAGTATTCACAGTGCATGTACCGGACCCATATGCATTGGGACTAACCTGGTGGAGTATTCACAGTGCATGTACCGGACCCATATGCATTGGGACTAACCTGGTGGAGTATTCACAGTGCATGTACCGGACCCATATGCATTGGGACTAACCTGGTGGAGTATTCACAGTGCATGTACCGGACCCATATGCATTGGGACTAACCTGGTGGAGTATTCACAGTGCATATACCGGACCCATATGCATTGGGACTAACCTGGTGGAGTATTCACAGTGCATGTACCGGACCCATATGCATTGGGACTAACCTGGTGGAGTATTCACAGTGCATGTACCGGACCCATATGCATTGGGACTAACCTGGTGGAGTATTCACAGTGCATGTACCGGACCCATATGCATTGGGACTAACCTGGTGGAGTATTCACAGTGCATGTACCGGACCCATATGCATTGGGACTAACCTGGTGGAGTATTCACAGTGCATGTACCGGACCCATATGCATTGGGACTAACCTGGTGGAGTATTCACAGTGCATGTACCGGACCCATATGCATTGGGACTAACCTGGTGGAGTATTCACAGTGCATGTACCGGACCCGTATGCATTGTGACTAACCTGATTAGGGCGTCCACCCACAGTTCTCAGAATGACAGAAATCATTTAGAATATGGTAATTCATATTAACAGAGATATGAGGTCCTTCTTGCCAAATTCTGATGTGCACTTTGAACATGTCAGAATAATTGTCCACATTTACTTTCCCTCAGCCAACAAGACAAGTAACGAACAGCAAAATCAGTAGCCTGTTAATCTACTACAGTAGAAAAGTTTTGGCTACCTATTCTATTGGTCAGCTTGTTGAGAAAGAAACAGCCTATTCCAAACAGACTCTGGGACGATAAGGTAGCTTAGTGGTTAAGAGTGTTGTGCCAGTAACCGAAAGGTCGCTGGTTCTAATCGCTGAGCCAACTAGGTGAAAAATCTGTCGATGTGCCCTTGAGCAAGGCACTTAACCCTAATTGCTCCTGTAAGTCGCTCTGGATAAGAGCATCTGCTAAATGACTAAAATGTAATAAATCCCAAATTCATCCAACCAGTAGGCCTAAGCTACATAAACCAGTAGGCCTAAGCTACATAAAAACAACTTTAAAAGCAATATGTCTGAATCAACAGATCAGAACGTTTAGATTAAAATGTTGATCAGCTATTATCTATTCCCATTATAAGCACACAAGGCAGTAGGCTACGCGCGAATGTTCATTCCATAACGCAAACAGCAGGAAAACACCATTGTCAAAAGGAGACCGCACATGCAAGCGGTTTCATGACAAGGTAAGACATGCCTCATTATATGTATTAAAACGTTCAGGTTTCAAACAATTAAGTATATGTTTTCAAAATGCATACTGCCTCCAGCTCATTGCAAAGTAGTGTGTGAAGCGCTGATGAAGCAAGGTCAGTACCTGTAGGAGTGGTCAAAGTGCACTCTGAGTAGGGGGTCGGGGTAGGGAGTAGGGGTCGGGGGTAGGGAGTAGGGGTCGGGGGGTAGGGAGTAGGGGTCGGGGTCAGTACCTGTAGGAGTGGTCACAGTGCACTCTGAGTAGGGGGTCGGGGGTCGGAGTAGGGGTCGGGGGTCGGGGGTAGGGGTCATTACCTGTAGGAGTGGTCACAGTGCACTCTGAGTAGGGGGTCGGGGGTAGGGGGTAGGGGTCGGGGGTAGGGAGTAGGGGTCATTACCTGTAGGAGTGGTCACAGTGCACTCTGAGTAGGGCAGCTGGTTCAGTCCTTCTTCCACCACCAGTCTGATCTGAGGATTAAGATCAACAGTTCAACTCATCATGCAATTAACTACTGTAGTTTCTAGCTAGCTGATGACTTCTAAAATAATCTTACCAGTCGGTCAGCACAGAACACAAAATCCCCTCTGCTGGTTGTCCTGCAAAACACGAACAAACATAATGTGCCCTGTTGATGCGACAGTCTCTTCCTCCCACCTCTGAGTTGAGTAAGCGCACACACACATGATCACCAAGACAAACACTCACTTGTCTCTGATGATGGTCTGTAATTCTAGTATCTGACTGTTGAGAGGAAGCAGTTTCAGTTGAGGTCCAAGGTTTAAAACGTCTGTGCCGAGCCCACCACCATTCGGCCCGTTCACACACTGTTTATTTACATCATCTACCGCTTCAGAACTCGGTACCGCCGCCACCGGAACGCCGCTGCTGTTGTTACTGCTCGCGGCGAACCGAACATGCTTAGTTAAATTCAGTTCTTGGCCGGTAGTAACGTTATTTAACGGCTGGTTGTGGCAGGGCATGTTTTCTGTACTCACTGTATATTGTTGAAACCGAATAAAGGTAGCTATTTGCTGACAATGAGCCACACGCGTCGCAATGTGGGTGACTTCAGCACCTCGGCCCGGTTTCAGGAAATAACAACACCTAGGAAGGTCACAAGCACGTCATTGTTTAGAAATCCTATCCAATCAAGAAGAGTAAAACCTAAATTGCAAGCAAAACGTCGAAATAAACGTTATGTTATTTAATTAGGCATATAATGAGCCAAATGTTGCGAAATAACCACATAGATAGCTATTATGATTTTATTCCTTAAAAAAGTAATGAATGACGACGGGGCCAAAGTTCGTTGTAATCGGAAATAACGTAACTTGGTTGATGATCGAAACCCGCCGCTATTCGACAAGATGGCGCCGATGTTGGTCCCGCTGGTAGGCGGATTCCGCTCGCAAACAAGAAAATGTGTTATTTTACTTCAACAGACACGTTTTTATCATGTTTGGAGAGGAGGTAACACACCGAATTGGAAGCAACGGACTTATTTGGTGAGGGGGGAGAAGGACACTGTTCTGAGAGTCACACTTTCGACACAAGCTGACGAGGACACATCAAAATGTTATAAAGTTAGCTAGCCAGTTTGGGATGGCCGTGTGTGTTTGACAAGTTATATTAAAGTAATATGTGTCAGTTACCAGAAAAGCTAAGTTAACCAAGCTTGTGGTGCATGCTTTCACAAGATTGCCATGGCTGTCGATGTTTTGCTAGCTAGTTAGCAAACGTTAAGTAGCTTTGCCTGCTACAGGACGTAGCCGGCAAGTTGAGGTGAAAGTTATTTCGACACATTACTAACTAACTAAAGTTACACCTCATACGTAGCTAGTTTGGTTAATTGTGGGCACCGAGATATATAGGTTGTGGGCCCCAGTGAGTGAGTAGCGTGTTGACCTTTTTTGTCATTTAGCAGAAGCTAAAGGAGTAATTAGGGTTAAGTGCCTTGCTGAAGGGCACATCGACAGATTTTAAACCTAGTCGGTTCAGGGATTCGGCCCAACGCTCTTAACCGCTAGGCTACATGCCTACTTTGGAACTAACAGAGTAAAGTGTCAGTACACAGTATGTCCCGTGAGATAAGACTGGGCAGCCCACCCTTGGACCGACTGATATTGGCTGCACTCGGCAGACACCATTGGCGTATTCATTAGGGCCGATTGTGTTGCAAAACGTTTCTTAAACGGAAGCGAAACGAAACGGGGAGGGACCTACCTGAATTTGTCCAATAGGAACTCTAGAAACGTTCCGTTATGCAACTGTTTGTACTAATGATTACACCCCAGGTGTAACTGCTTGTAAACCAGCTAATACTACTGGTATGATGACACGCTTTACTCACTGTTGTTGGACGTCACTGTGGTGATATAAAACGGATATAAAAGTTGCCATGATCCTGGGTGTTCTGGCACATAGCTAGCTCTTGATGCCTAAAATCTAATCTATAGTAAACATATTTTCCACCTCCAGCACTGTCTCAATTTGATCCTGACACAGGGTTTGTTCTAGCCCTTGATCATGACTCTCAGTTCCATAAGTCATATTTATTTATTATTTATAAGTCATTGGACGAAGGCGTCTTCTGTAGGGGGGAATTTTAAGATCCCCGACACTCGGTCTGAACATTAACATGCATTGTTCGTGGTATGGTTTTGGAAGCAAAAGGACCTTATCTTCCATATTAGCGAGAACTGATTCAATGGATAAATGCCATGTTAGGCTTCCCACACGACCATGTCTCCATGTCACAGCGCTTGTTTACGGAAAACAGACAGAGGACGAGGCAACCATCTGTGCTAATTAGCTATCTAGCATGGCTCTGAACTCTTGTGTGTAAGCGGAACTCGGGAAGCGTAGCGGAAGTGTAGTTTAGTAGGATGGAGGGCCCATAGCTGTATGGATCTGTAACTACAGTGTAGTGTAGTAGGATGGAGGCCCCATAGCTGTATGGATCTGTAACTACAGTGTAGTTTAGTAGGATGGAGGCCCCATAGCTGTATGGATCTGTAACTACAGTGTAGTTTAGTAGGATGGAGGCCCCATAGCTGTATGGATCTGTAACTGCTACAGTGTAGTTTAGTAGGATGGAGGCTCCATAGCTGTATGGATCTGTAACTGCTACAGTGTAGTTTAGTAGGATGGAGGCTCCATAGCTGTATGGATCTGTAACTGCTACAGTGTAGTTTAGTAGGATGGAGGCTCCATAGCTGTATGGATCTGTAACTGCTACAGTGTAGTTTAGTAGGATGGAGGCCACATAGCTATATGGATCTGTAACTGCTACAGTGTAGTTTAGTAGGATGGAGGCTCCATAGCTGTATGGATCTGTAACTGCTACAGTGTAGTTTAGTAGGATGGAGGCTCCATAGCTGTATGGATCTGTAACTGCTACAGTGTAGTTTAGTAGGATGGAGGCCCCATAGCTGTATGGATCTGTAACTGCTACAGTGTAGTTTAGTAGGATGGAGGCCCCATAGCTGTATGGATCTGTAACTGCTACAGTGTAGTTTAGTAGGATGGAGGCACCATAGCTGTATGGATCTGTAACTGCTACAGTGTAGTTTAGTAGGATGGAGGCCCCATAGCTGTATGGATCTGTAACTGCTACAGTGTAGTTTAGTAGGATGGAGGCACCATAGCTGTATGGATCTGTAACTGCTACAGTGTAGTTTAGTAGGATGGAGGCCCCATAGCTGTATGGATCTGTAACTGCTACAGTGTAGTTTAGTAGGATGGAGGCTCCATAGCTGTATGGATCTGTAACTGCTACAGTGTAGTTTAGTAGGATGGAGGCACCATAGCTGTATGGATCTGTAACTGCTACAGTGTAGTTTAGTAGGATGGAGGCCCCATAGCTGTATGGATCTGTAACTGCTACAGTGTAGTTTAGTAGGATGGAGGCTCCATAGCTGTATGGATCTGTAACTGCTACAGTGTAGTTTAGTAGGATGGAGGCTCCATAGCTGTATGGATCTGTAACTGCTACGGTGTAGTTTAGTAGGATGGAGGCCCCATAGCTGTATGGATCTGTAACTGCTGTGTAGTTTAGTAGGATGGAGGCACCATAGCTGTATGGATCTGTAACTGCTACAGTGTAGTTTAGTAGGATGGAGGCACCATAGCTGTATGGATCTGTAACTGCTACAGTGTAGTTTAGTAGGATGGAGGCCCCATAGTTGTATGGATCTGTAACTGCTACAGTGTAGTTTAGTAGGATGGAGGCACCATAGCTGTATGGATCTGTAACTGCTACAGTGTAGTTTAGTAGGATGGAGGCACCATAGCTGTATGGATCTGTAACTGCTACAGTGTAGTTTAGTAGGATGGAGGCACCATAGCTGTATGGATCTGTAACTGCTACAGTGTAGTTTAGTAGGATGGAGGCACCATAGCTGTATGGATCTGTAACTGCTACAGTGTAGTTTAGTAGGATGGAGGCCCCATAGCTGTATGGATCTGTAACTGCTACAGTGTAGTTTAGTAGGATGGAGGCACCATAGCTGTATGGATCTGTAACTGCTACAGTGTAGTTTAGTAGGATGGAGGCACCATAGCTGTATGGATCTGTAACTGCTACAGTGTAGTTTAGTAGGATGGAGGCCCCATAGCTGTATGGATCTGTAACTGCTACAGTGTAGTTTAGTAGGATGGAGGCCCCATAGCTGTATGGATCTGTAACTGCTACCGTTTAGTAGGATGGAGGCACCATAGCTGTATGGATCTGTAACTGCTACAGTGTAGTTTAGTAGGATGGAGGCCCCATAGCTGTATGGATCTGTAACTGCTACAGTGTAGTTTAGTAGGATGGAGGCCCCATAGCTGTATGGATCTGTAACTGCTACAGTGTAGTTTAGTAGGATGGAGGCACCATAGCTGTATGGATCTGTAACTGCTACAGTGTAGTTTAGTAGGATGGAGGCACCATAGCTGTATGGATCTGTAACTGCTACAGTGTAGTTTAGTAGGATGGAGGCCCCATAGCTGTATGGATCTGTAACTGCTACAGTGTAGTTTAGTAGGATGGAGGCACCATAGCTGTATGGATCTGTAACTGCTACAGTGTAGTTTAGTAGGATGGAGGCACCATAGCTGTATGGATCTGTAACTGCTACAGTGTAGTTTAGTAGGATGGAGGCACCATAGCTGTATGGATCTGTAACTGCTACAGTGTAGTTTAGTAGGATGGAGGCACCATAGCTGTATGGATCTGTAACTGCTACAGTGTAGTTTAGTAGGATGGAGGCCCCATAGCTGTATGGATCTGTAACTGCTACAGTGTAGTTTAGTAGGATGGAGGCCCCATAGCTGTATGGATCTGTAACTGCAGTGTAGTTTAGTAGGATGGAGGCCCCATAGCTGTATGGATCTGTAACTGCAGTGTAGTTTAGTAGGATGGAGGCACCATAGCTGTATGGATCTGTAACTGCTACAGTGTAGTTTAGTAGGATGGAGGCACCATAGCTGTATGTACAGTTGAAGTCAGAAGTTTACATACACCTTAGCAAAAACATTTAAACTCAGTTTTTCACAATTCCTGACATTTAATCCTAGTAAAAATTCCCTGTCTCAGGTCAGTTAGGATCACTGCTTTATTTTAAGAATGTGAAATGTCAGAATAATAGTAGAGAGAATGATTTATTTCAGCTTTTATTTCTTTCATCACATTCCCAGTGGGTCAGAAGTTTAAATATACTCAATTAGTATTTAGTAGCATTGCCTTTAAATTGTTTAACTTGGGTCAAACGTTTCGGGTAGCCTTCCACAAGCTTCCCACAATAAGGTGGGTGAATTTTGGCCCATTCCTCCTGACAGAGCTGATGTAACTGAGTCAGGTTTGTAGGCCTCATTGCTCGCACACGCTTTTTCAGTTCTGACCACACATTTTCTATAGGATTGAGGTCAGGGCTTTGTGATGGCCACTCCAATACCTTGACTTTGTTGTCCTTAAGCCATTTTGCCACAACTTTGGAAG